AATAATAATAATAATAATAATTATTATTATTATTATTATTATTATTATTATTATTATTCAGTGAATAAAACAAGTAAACCTCATGTGTGTGTTTCGTGCTGCTGGCAAATAATCAGTACATTCAGAAGTATTAAGGGTGGATATGTTAGGCTTCTCTCACTGACTGAATCTGCCTTACATGGCATCTACAACCATACCTGACATCTTGCAGGTATTAAGGTTTTATGCCCTTATAAGGCGTTATAAAGAGAAGCAGGAAGGATCTCATCAGCAGACTTCAAAACCTTGATCTCCTCTTGCCATGCTAGGAAAAATGTGCAAAGTTACAAAGCAAAGCTAGTATCTTACACTCCCATCACTGCAGGGCTTTAGATCCTTCCAGAAAGTCTGCATCTGAGTCAAGTCCACTTTGTTGAGAGGAATGTTAACTTCCCCAATTGGATCATTACGACTAAACCGATCATAATCCAAGACCTGTAGATACAGCACCCGCTGAACCACTTTCTCATATGGGAAACCTGATGAAAGCAAAGGAGCAGATGAGAAAGAGACAGAGAGAAATAAAGAAAACAAAAGAGGAAATATAATTAAGCAGAGTAACAAGAATTTGAAATGTAAAAATGGCTTCATCTGAAGACAGTCATTCCCTTGTCCACGGTGGTCTTTTCTATATATCAAATCAAATAGGGATAACTGCCACTATACTTACAGATAATCTTGTAGCTTTGGATAACTTTTTAGTCTCTTTTTTTTGTTCTGTGCCTTCAAGTCCGCCTTGTCTCTGGAATATGCCTGGACTAGTCTCTGCAATTTTCTTGGCAAGAGTTCTGGAAGTGGTTTACCTTTGCCTTTTTCTTAGGGCTGAGAGACAGTGACTGGCTTCTTGCCTAAGGCAGGACTAGAACATCTGTCTCTTGGATTCTAGACTGCTGTCTTAACCACTACACCAAACTGGCTCTCATCTTCTAGATTAATGAGTAGCAATAAAGTTTTATTAATCCAACTTGATGCTTGAGGGAACTGACTGGCTGCTCTAAGAGCCAGGACAAATCCTGGTCTTCATCCATAATTTGCACTTAGATTACAAGTGAAGAATTTTGTTCTTTCTATGTTAATGCAATACACTGCTGTTTCCCTGGAGAATGGTACTAAATGTAATGGAATAAGGGCATGATCTAACTTGGCAGGAGGTAAGACAATTGGATAAAGTAAAGGAGACATAAGGTAACACAAACTGACCACATGAAATAGGTGTACCATGGGATGACTTGATAGAGAATGTGATAGATTAATGATTTAGGGCAGTATTCCTCAACTCTACATCCTTCAGTATATTGGATTACAATCCCCGTAATACTCCGATGCTATTATATGTATTATATTGCAGGCTTATGTCCTCAATACATGCACATTTCCATATTTAAAATATTAAAGAAGCTTTTTTTTTACTTCATTAGGGGTGGTCAATAACTATGGTTTTTTGTTGTGATGTAAAAAAAACCTGTTGTCATAGACCATGTCAGTGCTGAATTCTTTACAGCTATGTGGCACAAAAATGGTACCCCTATTATGTTGGAACAATCTCACATAGAATCTCCCTACTGGGAGACTGCATTACTTCATTACATGAAGTCTGGAGCTTCATGCTCCCTCACCGTCATCTATGTTTGGTAGCCGAGAATCCAGTTCAACAATCATGTGTTTGAAGTAATAAAAAAGCAGTCTTTCATTTACCTCATTGAACTCTGAACAGTTTATGAACAGCCAGTTTCTTCACAGGTGGGAAGACTTACCTTGTCTTGTCTGCTGGCCTCTGGGCTTCAGCTAATGCAATTCTGTTCATGGGCTCTTAAAAGGGAAGGGTAGCTTGATTGTTTCACAAGCCTTCTTTCACAACAACTGCTCATAGTTTTTCTCTCTCCTTTCAGCTAGTTAAATACACATTATCGTGATGATTCTATTTTAAAATATTGATGGCATTTACTTGAGCTATACAGTATTCGAATTACTTGCAAATCGTTGGAAATATTCCCAAATGCATAGCAGGCAAGTCAAAGGGATGTAGAGTGAAATCTGATTTTTGTTGCTCCCAAACCATCTCTTCCACCCATCTGCTCACCAAAAATCTTCAGTTTTTTGTCTGGCTGCCGACTTGTAGACATTGTTTAGATTTACCATTTCTTTTCCTCCACTATAGCAACATACAGCCATAGTTATAAAGCTATTGGAAAAAGCACCTGATCGCAAAATTGCTTGCATGCTATATTTTTCATCATCAATGGTAGCCATAGGCTTTTAATAACAAGGGAATGAGAGTTTGGCAGCATTGCAGCTCCTCTTTACACTAACTGCTATAACATTTTTGTGACTGGCAGACAACACACCCACCCAACCACACCCACTTGAAATGGAAATTGGGACTAGCAATGCAGTTTTGGAATTTATATACTAAGAGATGTGAGTGCTGGTTACCAGGTTGGCTGTCTTCAACAAAGGATTGGCCCACTTCAGGGAAGTCATGGGATGAATGGCTGTTAGTTTTGATGGTAATGTGACTGTCTCTAAAGATCTGCTGGGAGGCTAGTGATTGGTTGATCACTGTGAGAATAGACTGCTGGGAAAGATGGCCAGTGGTCTGATCCAGCATGGCAGTGCTTCTGTTTTTTTCTTCTTCAGTGAACATTTCATGGTTTCACCTCTCCCATGCTAGAACTCAATATTAATGAAGATAAAAGGAGATGGATTGTGGTGTGATCATTAGGAGAAACATTGGATGTGTACACTCTAAAGCAGGGCTGTCAAACTTATGGCCCATGGGCTGGATGCGTCACGCACTGGCCATGCCCATGCCCAGTTTAGCAAAGGGGAGAAAAGTCCTGATATGTCACGTGATGCCATTGTGACAATGCAAGTTTGACACCCCTGCTCTAAAGCCTTCAGTCATAAGAGCCATGGTGTTGTAGTGGTTAGAATGAAGTACTGCAGACTATTTCTGCTGACTGCCAGTAGTTCAGCACTTTTACATTTGCCAGCAGTTCAGCAGTTCAAATCTCACCAGCTCAAGGTTGACTCATCCTTCCATCCTTCCAAGGTTGGTAAAATGTCAGAGGCACATTTTGTCAGAGGCAAAATGCTGACTCTGTAAACTGCTTAGAGAGGACTTTGAAGTGGTATATACATCTAAGTGCTATTGCTATTGCTATCAAGCTTGTGTTCTTCAGAAATATTTACACTAGCCTGGTGGAAAACAAAACAAAACAAGAAGGTGAACATCATTCACTCTTTCTTTCTGTCCCATCTGGACAAGAGTGGCAACTCCCCAAATGTCCAACCTTGGAACATTCATTCTAGGATAAAAAGATTACCACAATTAATCGGTCCTTCTCTGACACACTGTCTATTTCTATTCATGAACAAGTTTTCTGTTTGACAGCAGTTTTCTTTCAACTATGTTGCTTGCCTTTAAGTTTAAGAAATGAAGACCACTATCATACTTGACAGGTTGAAAACTGAACCATGAGATAGATTTCTTCAGCAAAGCCTTTACTTCAGTAATCAGAATCCAGAACTTAGACCTTCTTACCTACCTTCAAAAAGAAAGGTCTCATTCCAATGTGGATTTAAGTTCTTCCTTTTCACCTTGGTCTCCAGTTTATTCTTTTTATCTGGCAGGAGATAGATTTTGACAAAAGGGTCACTTGTGCCACTGAAATCCTTAGCTGGCAGCTCCTGAGCTTTCAATATTTTGACAGTGAGAGTAGATTCCTGGAAATTATAGCCAACACTAAATTGGATGCGGCCCAGATTCTCTCGGCTGGAGCTGTCATGTCCCTCATCATCCTCAGATCCAGGGGAAAGCTATAGTGCAAGAGAAAACAGAAAGACATAGCTGTGAGGGTCTGGTATGCGATGTTTATCTTCTGTATCCAATTATGTTTTAACACCAGAACCCTCAGAGGTATTTGCTCTGCTAGCTAATAAAGAAGATCTAGGTTAAACACGAGCAATTGATAAGAACATATTTCTCATGGCTTATTACCTTTAATAAGGTAATGATAATGTTATACTTTATATTCTATTACTCCAAGAGAACATTTTCTTTTACAGTCAGCTTCATCCTAGCTTTCTCATAGTCAATGATTCTGAAAAGGGAAGAAATTCCTGCAGCTCTTTGATTCTGAGCGTTTGAGACATTTCCAAGCTGTCTGATGTCCTTAGGTGAGAAACAACACTAAAAAAAAACTTCCCTCCAAGTATAAGCAGTGTTGAAAGGGAAAGAGCATTGGGAAATAAATACAGAAAGGAGATACTGTTAACATAAGCTCTATTTAATCACCGACTTAACTGGGAGTGAGCCTCAGGGACAGGAAAAATTCTATTAAGAACACTGTAACTTGGGTACTCATTAGTAGGGTGTGAAGTTGAAAAGCTCAGAAAGACTTTGTCCCACTGTCAGCAGCTCCTGTTCCAGCCTTCTTGTGAAATGTCTCACTTTTCACCTCCCATATCATTCATGACTTCACTGTAAGCCCCAGAGGCTGGATCAAGAACAGGAAGGGCTTTCTATTTACCCACGGCACTTTCAGTTTGGTTTTATTTATTTGCAAGGGCTTCGGTAGATTTTTTTTCTCAATTTCCCATGGTGCATGAATTGCTCAAAAAGAAATGTGTAGCATAACTATCTCTCATAACACACAAACAGATGGTGGTGCTATTTCTCCTGCTTATTATTCACTGGTGCAGACAAATATTTTTAGAACTTGGACTTTAGCTGCCCATTGTGCATTAGTTTCAGTGACTCAATGAGCTAAGATTATCTTTTCCCTACCTGTTGAGATTCCATGTTTTGCAACTGCTTTTACATTCCCTATAGTTAAAATATCAATAAATAAAATATATAAACCTGCTGATGAACCCCGTTGAGAGAAAATATTCTGGACATATGCATTTTATATTCAAATTCACTTGAATCTCAGAGATACAGTGTGTTTGCTTCAGCTGCTCTGATTCCGAAAACAGTTAGTTTGCAGTAAGTACTATTTTCTTGCAGATGGTACCCTCTATTTAAAAAATTGAAAATAATAGAAAAATTAAGATGTACATGCTCAACTGGCATCCCCTAAACTACAACTTTAATTAAAAAGGGGGAAAGGAAGATATGAAAAGGGACATGAACAATATTTGTCTGCCAATCAGAATATTGTTGCTGGCTCTATTTACTGTTATTACAGATCTTAAAGGTAAAGGTAGCCCTCGCACATATGTGCTAGTCATTTCCAACTCTAGGGGTGGTGCTCATCTCTATTTCAAAGAAGAGCCAGCATTGTCCAAAGAAACCTGCATGGTCAGGTGGCCAGCATGACTAAACACCAATGGCGCAAGGAACGCTGTTACCTTCCCACCAAAGGTGGTTTGTATTTTTCTACTTGCATTTTTACATGCTTTTGAACTGCTAGGTTGGCAGAAGCTGGGACAAGTAATGGAAGCTCACTCCATTAGGCGGTGCCAGGGATTTGAACCGCTGAACAGCTGACCTTTCTGATTGACAAGCTCAGCATCTTAGCCACTGAGCCACCGTGCCCCTCTCTATTTAAGATCTCTCTATTAAGATCTATTACACATCTTAAGAAACCCAAATCTTTTTTTAACCTTCAAGGCTGCTGACTCTGTTCTGGAAAGGCCTGTGAGTTTCAGTTCTCTAGCAATTCTGCTCAACTCAACCCAACCACTATTTCCTATTCCTGTTCATATGCTTGCTGCGTTATCACTAATGTTAATTAAGACATTATTAGTATTTAATTTTTCCATTACAGTCAGGCCTCAAGTACTTTTCTGCACCAAGGAAATATTCCCATTTTGGTCTTGTGGAAGACCTCTTCTGTCATCTGTCCCAGGCAGAATGACTCAAATTGTATGGACAAAGGTAATTTGCAAAGGATTATTACAGATAAAACATCCTACGCTACTGCGTTACTGAAATAGATTCCACAAAACAAAGAGTAGACAATGTACTGAATACACCCCTTGACTAATTTGCAACAGCTGTAGTACTATGGTCAATTTTCACTCAGTATTGTAACTTCTGTATCACCCATGAAACATTCTATAATCCATTTTCCTTATACTGATTTCTATATTCCATTCATCCTCACTCTTTTTATATTAGTATTTGTTAATTATGTGTTAATTTAATTACATACACTCTAATTTAGCATCATGACCTCTTCTTTCTTGGGAAGCCAAGGAAAGAATTAAGGTGGCTTTAAAACTCTGGAAACTATTTAGCAACACTTCACCCCTCTTTTTTTTAAATTTCAGGGAAGGAATAGGGAGACAGCCAATTGGGTATTAATGGTTTAGGCATCAAATTAAAAACTGGGGGAGCATAAGTGCTAGCTCTGCCTTAGACATGAAGCCAGCTGGGATATCTTAGGCTAGTCACCCTTTCTCAGCCATAGGAAGCAGGCAAAGGCAAACCACTTAAAAAAAAACTTTTAAAGATAACTACAGGGATTTGACAAGGCAGTCACCAAGAATTAACATTGAATTGAAGGTTAAAAAAAGAAAGAGGGGAGGAATTAGGAGGGATGTTTTTTAAAAATGAAATCTTTGCTTCTTTTTTCTTGGAGTTATTTATAATTACCACATTTCCCTGAAAATAAGACAGGGTCTTATTTTCTTTTGACCTCCCCTGAAATAAGCACTTGGCCTTATTTTTAGGGAGGTCTTATTATTTTTAAGGTGCAGGAGGCATTGCACATGGTCACCTCATGGCTCCTGCTGTGTTGCAATATTTTCGGGGAGGTCTTATTACTTTTGAGGTGCAAGAGGAGGCGAGCGTGGTCACCTCCTGGCTGCTGCTGTGTTGCAATAGTTTCAGGGAGGGCTCATTTTCAGGGGAGGGTTTATCTTAGCGCATGCGCTCAAAATCCCGGGCTTATTATCTGGGCAGGTCTTATTTTCAGGGAAACAGGGTATATACATAAAAGGATACTTAAGTGGGAGAAGATAAAATACTCAGTTTAAAAGTCACTGGATTCTGACAGGAGCTTCCCCTGCCAAATAAACACATTTATGTTATAAAGCCAAGGCTTTGGGACTTTGCATGCTGGTCCCAAAGCCTGGATAAATGTATAAGGTTGAGAAAGAACTGCAACTTAATTTGAAAAAAAAAACTTTGCCAATAAACGTTTATGGAAAAACTCTCAAGTGAATCAGATATGGTAGAATCTTTAGGCCAGAAGGCACACAACAAATATTGGGAAAGAGCAAGGGCCCACAGTAAGTGGTCAAGGCATTAATGATGTGCCTCAACCAAATCTAGCAGGAATCCCAGCTGCTGATGCACCCCTGAAGAAAACAAGGGACTGTGTAGCACCAAGACACCTCAGAAAGCAACATGGAATGTCCAAGGAATGAGGCAGGGTAAATTGGACATAATCAAACAGGAGATAGCCAGGTTGAAAATCAATCTTCTTGGCATTACTGAGCTACAATGAATAGACAATGGTTATTTCCAGTCCGATGAATTCACTCTCTATTACTTGGGACATTACACCAGGACAATGAACAGAGTGGCAAGAAACTTGTCCAAATAATGGAAAGCTTCTTGACAGTAAATATTTGAATCATAACCCTTCAAGTTATGTCAAGCACCTCAAAATCACAATTGTCCAAGTCTAGCCCCAATAACATATGCAATGGAACTTGAAATAGATAATTTCTATGCTACTATTGAAAATAAGGAACAAGTATCCTCAAAAGTCATCATTTACATTCTGGGTAGTTTCTATCCAAAAGTTGTCAGCCAAGTAGAAACAGGCATCACTGGCATTTTTGGATTTTGGGACAGAAATGATGGAGGTGATCATTTTATTCAATTTTGCAAAGGGATTTGATTTCAAATCATGGATACCTGATTCAAACAACACAATCATACTTATACACTTGGACATTAATTAATCTGGGAATAATCTGAAAGCATTCACTGTTCCTCAAAGCGTAAGGTTTAATGACTTTTTATTGATATCTGAAGAAACTTCTCTGTATGTTTTATTTATCTTACGCATTGCTAACTGATTTATATCCTTTGGTATATACATTCAATGGAATACATGGATGACCCTGAGGAAAGAGGGGTGAGATGCTGCCTAGGAAACCATCAGACAAGAGAAGCAGGAGCAGCTAATGTCTTAAAAGTCAGAGAAAGAAACTTAGGAAAGAACCACCCTAATGGATGAAGCAGTTAAAAAGGTGGCAGAAAGTTTGTATTTTCAGACTTGTGAGATTGTGTTAATGCATCCTAACAATTAAGTAGAATTCGTTCATCTAGCCCTGTTTACTTTCTAGTTTACCTGTGGGGGTTGACAATGCATACCTAAATATTGAATTGATTTGGTGCGGATACTGAATTTATATTCCTTAAATGAATGAATAATTCAGTTTTTACCTTTTGGTATCAATTCCAATTTAAACCATTTACTGGAGTATCATGCTATTTTGCTAAAGAAATCTATATTTTGCATCAACAGTGGAATAGTCATATGAGGTTTGGAAATAATCCTAAGAATGTTCTCCACAAATAAAACTAATTTGTCTTCATATATTATTTTGTTTTTAATGAGCTATTGCCATGGCAGCTAGATCCCAGCAGTCAACAGCTAATTTCAATTGCATCACCATCTGCCGAACCAAGAAAGGTAGAAGAGGAAGAGGAAGATTCTTCCATTAACTTGTTAAAAGAGATCCAGACTCAAGTACAAATCTTGAAGCCTATCCAACAAGATCTGGATGAGCTTAAGAGTGATTTAAAATCACTCTTAAGTGATTTTACTCTTAAGGCAAGAAAAAATGGTTAGAAATGAAGATTGATTACTAGCCCATAGTACCATAAGACATGAAGATTAATTACTAGCCCACAGTACCATAATTCAAGCCAATTTTAATATACTGATCAGATCAGGGGGCCCCAAGCCCCGGTCTGCAGAATGTCAGCAAAGCCCCATCTGTGGGACGCAGGCAACCTACAAAACCATGCCCTCTCTGTTCTGTGGAAAAATCTTTCTCCATGGAACCGTCCCTGGTGCCCAAAAGGTTGGGGGCCGCTGGACTAGATGAATTACTTATTTAGAATCACAACTGCACAGGAAAAAAATTGTGCAAGACTGCTATTGAAAATCCTCTAACTCAAACAAACCTGGCTGAATTATATGGAGGATTTTTTTCAAAAAGCTCTTCTCTTTGGGAATGGACGTCTAGTCAAGATTTAACATGTGTTTAAAATTCCTTTAATAAGACAGAAGATTGAAACTAATTCAAATACCATTCTTATGCAGTTCCTCAGAGATGAGATTTTACACATATTTTGCCGGGAATCAGTAAAATCTTCATTGAGTTCTAACCAAAGTAACATATCAATCAATCCTGATTTTACTAAGGAATTTTCAGAGAAAAGAAGATTGTTTATAAAAGCTCAAAGTCTCACTAGAGTACCACAACTATAATATTTAATGTACAACTGTAATATTTTCCGCTACATTCTGCATTAATAATCAAGATCAGATTCACAGATTTGGTAACACTGTGAATGCGGAGGCTTTTATCTTATAACTGAAATCTGCTGATGGATAAGTCTTATTGTGTTTCATTTTACAGCAATTGCTAAGAGAGAAGTGTGAGTTTGCCCAAGGAGCAATGGGAGCGGGGGGGGGGGGAAGTATCCTCATTTGAGAACTTTTAAAGTTGCCCCCCCCCCTGTCTTCTTGTTAATTTGATGATAATGAGTCTGGGCGTATTGCCAATTTTAGTCTTTATCTTCATACTTAGCATATGAGTTTAAATGATTGGTTTGCAAACTGTTCTATATATTTATTTGTAATAAGAGAGATGAACTATAGTGCTACCTCACTAAGAAGTCATGCATTTCTTTCTTTCTTTCTTTCTTTCTTTCTTTCTTTCTTTCTTTCTTTCTTTCTTTCTTTCTTTCTTTCTTTCTTTCTTTCTTTCTTTGTTTTTTGGGTTCTTTCCATTTTTTAAAAATAAGAATGTTACTTTTTAGTAAGTCTATTTTCTTACACATAACCACATTTTTTCTTTTAAGTAAAGATTCTCTATATGTATAAAACAAGGCTATCTGAATATTAATTTGAGTTCCATGATTCTATGTCTATATGTAACATTAGAAAATATGATAAATATATAAATTAAGTTCATTATTATAGATTTGTTAAATGGTACAGGTTATAAAATAATTTGTTTTGGAAAAATATTAATAAGTGGGCCAAAAATAAAATAAATGGATAAAATTAGTATTTTACAGTATGGGCTATAGGAATCTAGGATACAAAAATGTAATTTTAACATATTTACAATAATTAAGGACAGGTATTGCTTATCTACAGAAGATTTCTCTAATGGAACAGTATCTCCATTAATGAAGGATTGGGTGGGACAAGTTTATTTCATAGATACTTAGATGACAGCTAAAGATCTGGCTATTTTGGTTTGAACAGGATTTTCAAGTGATATACAACATATTACTGATATAAATGGGTGTTATTTAATTTTACGTGCTAAAATAGCAACAACTGTAATAGCTATGGTTAATATTTATATAGCTAATTTATACTCTCCTTTTACTTTTTATCAATGTTTTTGACACTTCAATGGGTGCATTTATGATAAAGTGGTAACATGAGATTTTTAATGAAATATTGGATCCTGAGCTGGCTAGAAATTTTTTAGATTTAGATTTTATTA